AACAACCCGTTCTCGCAAATTGAATAAGTCAATATTGACTTATTAAATATGTGCATAGGTGACATACTTAACATAATAGCTACCCTTAAAAAGATTCATAGAAAACACCGACCTTACCTAACCTACTTAGTATGTTAAGATAAGTATCTTATTGCTTCGTAATTACAATTATTACCTAACCTATAATAGGTATAGGTTAAGTAATAATTGTAATTACGAAGCAATAAGATGCTTATCTTAAGATACTAACAAGGTTAGGTAAGGTCGGTGTTTTCTATGAATCTTTTTAAGGGTATCTATTATGTTTAGTATATCACCTATGCACGTAGTTAATAAGTCAATATTGACTTTACGAATTTGCGAGAACGGGTTGATTCCCAATCAACTTGAAAATGGTCCAGGACGGACCGAAACGTCGTCGTCCCTTCACTTTCTAGTGTGTGTGATCTTGTCAACACACACACAAACCTGTGCTGGTGACAGCGGCTTGTCAGCGATTGACAAGTATCGCATTTGTGACAAAAAAATTCTTCCTGGCCAATAGAAAACGCGTCATCACATCGATTGGGAAACTGTTTTCGTATTCAAGGTCAACTATTTACCCCCCCCCCCTGGCAGGGGTCAGGTTGTCTGGGGAGCAATGTTCTTTAGTTACAGGATGAGAGCTACGCTCGTGGTGTCCCGTCTTCCCAGTACTCTTGGTCGTATAACACTTTGAAACTGCTGACGGGTTTGGCCTCCACCACCTTCCCACTTGTTCCAGCCATCTTGCTGGCGCATAAGACGCTGCTAATTGACAAGGATATTGCATGGGAAACACACAAGGAGTATGCTAAGATCTTAGCAGGAGGAGACTCGGCGTCCTGGGCCAGCTCAGACACATGCCTTTACCCGTACAACGATGTAAAGCAGAAATGCAATGCAAATTAAGGGTCTTTAATTATGGAAAGTCCTTCCAAATGTGATTGAAAAGCTGAACTTTTCTCTGTCGGATTAAAAGAGAAACTAAGAAATATCTAATTATCATGTAACACCTTTCACTCACCTTTCTTCATCCAAAATAAGTCAATGTTGTGTTTACCTGTTGTTGTAAAGTGCAGGTATTGTATCTGTACTTGTTGCCAAAGCTACAGTCTGTAATAAAGTAGTTATGTCTTTCTCCATCACCACATAAAATCTGTATATATAATTTGCTAAATTTCTTGAACAATTCATGTATCTTAACGTCTCGTTTGGCAATGAGTCGTTACCTGTCAGACCTATACTTAATTTGACTTAATTATTTAAAGCTATGCCTAAAACTTTTTGCGTATTAGCGGCGTTATTAAGTATTCAGTTTGGCATATACAAGCTGGTATATAGTGAGGCGTAGAGATTGTGTATCTTTAGAGGGTATGTCTTTCTCTCTCTCTCTCTCTCTCTCTCTCTCTCTCTCTCTCTCTCTCTCTCTCTCTCTCTCTCTCTCTCTCTCTCTCTCTCTCTCCCCTTCCTGAGTGAAATGTCATGCATTTCCCTTCATAAATATGAAAAATGTGGTTGGTTTAAGGAACATAAAAGTATTGATTGTGAGAGCGGGGGAAGAGCCGTGTATGGTGACAGTGATGGTGAAGATGATGATGAATATGATGATGCTGATGGTGGAAAACAAAAGAGAAGAATCTGAATTAATTTACACATTAATCCAATATTCAAAATTTAAGGGCGTCTGATATAGTATTATTTTATTGTATAAATTAATACTATATCTGAAACTTTGTAATCGAAGTGAAATTGAATGTACAGGTAATGTACATTACAGGTACAGATAATGTACAATGTACACCAATTTATTAATGACGTAGCAATGTTCCTGGAGGTTTAGGGACCGTTTAGGTAACAAAAACGTTTTGGGTAGATAATGGAATACTGAAAATTACAAACGTTTCCGAAACCGAAGCCTAATTTTCAAAATCGCTCAATCTGTTAAAACTGCGACGTATTAATGAAAATTTGCGCGCCAAAATATTGAGTTTTTCCATGCACCAGCTTCGATAAATTAGGCTGTTTGCTTGTGTCCATACAGGTCTCTGGGGCTAGATTCACGAAGAAGTTACGCAAGCAGTTACGAACCTGAACATCTTTTCTCAATCTTTGGCGGCTTTGTTTACAATTATTAAACAGTTAATGAGCTCCGAAGCACCAGGAGGCTGTTTATAACAATAACAACAATTGATTGGCAAGTTTTCATGTTTGTAAACTGTTTAATAAATGTAACCAAAACCGTCAAAGATTGAGGAAAGATGTTCACGTTCGTAAGTACTTGCATAACTGCTTCGTGAATCTGGCTCCTGGTTAAGGAAATCAGGTGCATTTCTTACGGAGTGGCAAACCGAGATCAAGAACTTGCTGAACAAACACTTCAGACTGTGAACGTATGATACACAAACGTTTAAGAACATGTTTCATATAGGAAACATTTCCGAGAGAGAATGTTCCTTGAAGAACGTTTCAATTAAGGGAAGCCATTAGGTAGAGAGGCAGTAAGAGAAAAGACAATCCCTGTCTTACAGCCTGACCCAGACAAAACTTTTAGAGGAATACAGAGAGCGCGCCGAGGAAGAAAGAAAACTGTTGGCGCCTTACAAAGGAGAGAGCGCGCGCCATTGCCCTTCCCAACTCGCTGACGCTCCGGGATCGAATAATAACATCTTTTTTCCATCTATAAATGCTTCATTTTCTTCGTCCCTCACTAGAACTGTTCAGTAAGAATTCAGTGCTTTATTTCTCAGGAGAATTTTCAGCTTTGGGAGAGTAAGTTAGTTCTTCAGCGTAATACCTCCTTTGTTTTCCCGCCATTCTTGCTAATATTATTGGAACATTTTTTCCCGCGCTTTTGTTTGCAATTATGGTTTGCACACCTGACTGTTGATTGAAGCTTGTAGTAAAGATAATTCTTATGATAGGATGCGCGTTAAATCTTGGAAATTACCAGTTACTTAATTTATTCAGTTTCTTTTCACATTTGCCATTAATTTCAAACGAATAATGCCAAAAATAATGGTTCATGTCACTCCTATTAACTCTTAGAGATATCTTAAGTATTCCTAGTATAGATGGTTTCCATGAGACTCTTGGAGCGACCACATAGACCTTCTACTGCCTTAGGCGACACCAGGAGACAGGCAGCCTGACCAGAGGACCCCTGCAACCTTCATAGGACGCGTCTGGGCCACATCTGGGCCGTGCTTGTGGCACCAAATAGCTTTTCCAGGACATTGATCCTCCCCCACACCATCTCCCTCCCCTCCCACTTTCCCACCACCAGCCCCCCACCCACCACCAAAGTTTAATGAGACTAGCCACAAGCGTCTGGCCTTCAACCTTGGGCAGACATATATTATAATTTATAGATATATATTGAAAAACGAAAACTGGGAATAATTGCGTGTGAACGCGTGTGTGTGCGCGCGCGTGTGTATGTACGTGCGTGTGTGTGTGCGCGCATGTATGAGCGTGTAAGCGAAATATTTAATGGAATAAAACTCAGTTTAGAACGTTATTTAATTTTTACCAAGAGCCTAATTGCTTATTTGGTCTTCCAGCGCTGGTTATACCAAGCCTAACCTAACCTTTAAGCTTAACCTGCCCTAACCTAACCTAACCTAACCTAACCTAACCTAACCTAACCCAACCCAACCTAACCTTCTTCCCCTAACCTAAGCTAACCTGTACCCAGCGGAGGACTCATAATTCATTCTTGTCATAGGGTTGGGTCCAGTTTTGAGCAGAGGAAGTTAGTAGCCAAGTTAAGGAGGCATTAGCGAGAGACAACTTTTGTTCTCTCTTGCTAATGGAACAGTATAAACAAAACAAAAGATGGAGCAGCATAAACAAGAGAAACAAAACATGGAATTGCCCAAAGTAGTAAAAAAAAAAGGAGCCAGATTCACGAAACAGTTACGCAAGCACTAACGAACCTGAACATCTTTTCTCAATCTTTGGCGGCTTTGTTTACAGTTATTAAACATTTAATGAGCTCCGAAGCACCAGGAGGCTGTTTATAACAATAACAACAGTTTATTGGGAAGTTTTCATGCTTGTAAACTATTTAATAAATGTAACCAAAGCCGTCAAAGTTTGAGGAAAGATGTTCATGTTCGTAAGTACTTGCGTAACTGCTTTATGAATTCGGGTCAAGGAGAATAGCATTAACAATGTCAATTATAAACAGAACAAACAAAAGACACAAGAGAGGACAGGATAAGACAACAACAATTTGGTAAATAAAACAACTTGAAGATATAAGTAAAACAAAAGCAAGAACAAACACCAAACATACACCCCAAGTAAACAAACAAACAGGCCAAAACAAAGGAACAAAGACACGTAAACAATGTATTGTTTCACCAAGAAGTTCCAAAACCGGGTTTACAAATTCCAGGCGAATTGCTGAAATAAGCGACCTGGACGAATTCGATGTCGGATATATTGGGCGGGAACGCCACGCGGGACGACTGTTTGGTCTGGTTCAAAGCTCTAATTCCCTATCTTCTCGTTTATATTCTCTGGAGCTCTTAAAACCCCAAAGTCCACATTCGTAAACGAAAGTCAGCAGTCGTGAATAAGAGTTTGCATGTGTAAATTTTAAGTTTGCATTCGTAAATTATAATCCGCATTCATAAATAAAAGTTCACATCCGCTTATCGGGTTTACGAATGCTAACAGAAACATGAAAGTCAAGACAAATGTCATAGTAACTTTGGTGATACTGACTGGTAGTCGACAATAGTGATATGATAGTCGGTCCTTCTGTTTAAATGGTTTATTAATTCTTTCTTTGTGCTGGGTTCTTCTTTGATATAAATCTCATCATTCTACAATATGTTAATAACTTTTTTATTGTACAATAACAAAATTCACTGCTGTGCAGTTGTTCAAAGCAGCGAGGGCTGTATGGTTACACTTTTACCTGAATTTGAATTCGAATTTGAATTTGAATGTCGCCGTCTTCCCGCCCGCAGGTTCCTCAGCGTCAAGAAGTGGCTGTTGCGGAAGAAACACCAGATCGAGCTGGCGAGGAAGCGCGGCTGGAAGGGCTACTGGGTGTGTCTGAAGGGCACTACGCTGCTCTTCTACCCCTGCGACTCCCGCGAGGGCCGCTCCGTCGAGGCTGCCCCCAAGCACTTGATCATCGTCGACGGCGCCATCATGCAGCCCATCCCCGAGCACCCGAAGAGGGACTACATCTTCTGCTTGTCCACGGCCTTCGGAGACGCCTATCTCTTCCAGGTCAGTCTCAAGTGCTGTTGTGCTGCTGCATAGTTGTCACGCTAGGTGTAGCAATGTTGTCACGCCAGGTATAGCAATGTTGTCACGCCCAGTGCAGAAATGTTGTCACACCCGGTATAAAAACCGTTACACCCGGTATGAAAACCGTTACATCCGGTATAAAAACCGTTACACCAGGTATAAAAACCGTTACATCAGGTATAAAAACCGTTACACCAGGTATAAAAACCGTTACATCAGGTATAAAAACCGTTACACCCGGTATGAAAACCGTTACACCCGGTATGAAAACCGTTACATCAGGTATAAAAACCGTTACACCCGGTATGAAAACCGTTACACCAGGTATAAAAACCGTTACACCAGGTATAAAAACCGTTACACCAGCTATAAAACCGTTACACCAGGTATAAAAGCCGTTACACCAGCTATAAAAACCGTTACACCAGGTATAAAAGCCGTTACACCAGGTATAAAAGCCGTTGCACCAGGTATAAAAACCGTTACACCCCCCTCACCCCCAATCCACCCCCGTCACCCCCCCTTCACCCCCTACCATCGTTCAACACTAACAAGGAGCCCAGACGTTGTTAACCACAATGAAGTAGTTTAACAGTGTAAAGCTTCACAGTCAGACGAGCACCAGCACAGAGGAGGACACTGTGAGGACACTATGAGGACACTATGAGGACACTATGAGGACACTGTGAGGACACTAGGGCAGGTTGAGAGGACACTCACCCCTCAGAGGAGAGAAGAAACAGAGGGAATATGATCACGACGTCCAAGATCTCGATGGGGGGAAATAGACAGAGGAAGCCTATTAAAAGGAAGTAGGACTAGGGGACATGGAGGGGTAGGTGGGTTGAGTGGGGAAGAGGTAAGGGGGAAAGGCTGGTTCCCTGAACGGGGGAGGTTATCTTGAGATATCTATCTTGAAGTTGTCTTGAGATGATTTCGGGGCTTAGTGTTCCCGCGGCCCGGTCCTCGACCAGGCCTCCAGCAGGGAGCGGCAAGTGGAATGCATTAAACCAAGAGGTTGTTGAAGCCAGTTTCCTCCACAACTTTAAGATGAAAATGTTGAAAACGCGAATGAAAATGGTGATGTTAAAGAGAGGTAATTAACCCAAGGTGTACATGGGTGGGACGCGGGGGGCGGCATAAAGAGCTATATTCCTCACGTTAATCACTGACAGGTAAGCGCCCTTCATCATCCCCCCCCCTTAATCTAACCCTCACCTGGCATGAGTCATCTAGGACCTGGCTGCTTTAATGTTGTATCGACCGGTTATATCACCCCCCTAAGACGTCCCTCCCCCCCCCATGCCCTTAGACCCCCCCACCCCTCTCCCCCCTACCCTCGGGAGTCTTTGTCGTCACCCCCCCCCTCACCCCCCTCTCCAACGGGCCTCCTAACCCCCCTCCGATTTTATTTTCACTGTGTTAATCTAGAAACAAGTTTAGGATGATAGCACATAAATCAATAATCATGCTCTTCCCAGCTCTCCAGGAGGCTAGATTCACGAAGAAGTTAAGCAAGCACTTACGAATCTGTACATCTTTTCTCAATCTTGTGGTGAGAGTGGGGGGGGGCGCTTGTGGTGAGAGTGGGGGGGGCGCTTGTGGTGAGAGTGGGGGGGGGCGCTTGTGGTGAGAGTGGGGGGTGGGCGCTTGTGGTGAGAGTGGGGGGGGCGCTTGTGGTGAGAGTGGGGGGGGGCGCTTGTGGTGAGTGGGGGGGGCGCTTGTGGTGAAAGTGGGGGGAGGGGGCGCTTGTGGTGAGTGGGGGGGGGGCGCTTGTGGTGAGAGTGAGGGGGGGCGCTTGTGGTGAGTGTTTCGGCTCGTGGTACCCGTGTTTCTGGGTCACTTACCGGCTCTGACGATATCCGGCCGGTGCCCAAACGTTCCCGGCGTTCGTCTTCTTCCTGGGCCGACGTTGGTGACTTCTGTGGGGGCGAGTAGCGACTTCTCGCCTCCTGAGTACTACCATCTGGGTCCCCAGTTTGCGGGTGTTTGTTGCCCCGGTTCCGGGTGTTATGGCGTCCCCGGTGGATGGACGGGACCCTTGGCAATGGGTGTTCTGGGAGGCGTTAAATGTACGGTTCCCGCGGGCCAAGTTCCCGGGCAAGTATGTGCTCTGATTTCCTGTGTATTTGCTCTATGACATGCTGTGTGCCCTTCTGGCTGTTTGTTTGCCCCTGTTATATTATGTGCTTCTGCCTCTCCCTTTGGGCGTTGCTTTGCCGTGTGGCGTATTAGTTTCTAGTGCTTGGCGTCACTCGTTTCGCATTTTGGCTTGGCATTTCACCTTTCCTGGCTTTGCGATTCACTCTTCACGGGTACGCCGGGGCGCACCCGATCCTACGATCGTCGTCGCCCCTAACTCAACAACAACAACAGTTGATTGGCAAGTTTTCATGCTTGTAAACTGTTTAATAAATGTAACTAAAGCCGTCAAAGATTGAGGGAAGATGTACACGTTCGTAAATACTCGAGTAACTGCTTCGTGAATCTGGCCCCCGAGGATGCTGGAATGGCTGAAAGCGCCATAACATCACTGTGATGTTTCTAATGTTCCCGACGATATAGAAGATCTTGTCGAAGCTGTTTTGGTCCGGGATATAACGTTATACCAGACGTTATCTTAGTGATTGGCTGGCTGCTTGCGCAACACCTTCACCAACTGACAAGGGAAGCACCACTCATAGTAATGTTGGGCTTCTAGAGACACTATACTGTTCATCGATAGTGTCCACCGTACAGGAAGCCAGCGTGTACAGCTTCCCACGCCACCACAAGCGTTGCCGCGCCACCACAAGCGTTGCCACGCCACCACAAGCGTTGCCGCGCCACCACAAGCGTTGCCACGCCACCACAAGCGTTGCCGCGCCACCACAAGCGTTGCCGCGCCACCACAAGCGTTGCCATGCCACCACAAGCGTTGCCGCGCCACCACAAGCGTTGCTGCGCCACCACAAGCGTTGCCGCGCCACCACAAGCGTTGCTGCGCCACCACAAGCGTTGCCGCGCCACCACAAGCGTTGCCATGCCACCACAAGCGTTGCCGCGCCACCACAAGCGTTGCCACGCCACCACAAGCGTTGCCGCCACCACAAGCGTTGCCGCGCCACCACAAGCGTTGCCGCGCCACCACAAGCGTTGCCTCGCCACCACAAGCGTTGCCGCGCCACCACAAGCGTTGCCGCGCCACCACAAGCGTTGCCACGCCACCACAAGCGTTGCCACGCCACCACAAGCGTTGCCACGCCACCACAAGCGTTGCCACGCCACCACAAGCGTTGCCACGCCACCACAAGCGTTGCCACGCCACCACAAGCGTTGCCGCGCCACCACAAGCGTTGCCACGCCACCACAAGCGTTGCCACGCCACCACAAGCGTTGCCGCGCCACCACAAGCGTTGCCACGCCACCACAAGCGTTGCCGCGCCACCACAAGCGTTGCCGCGCCACCACAAGCGTTGCCGCGCCACCACAAGCGTTGCCACGCTCACCACAAGCGTTGCCACTCTCACCACAAGCGTTGCCACTCTCACCACAAGCGTTGCCACTCTCACGACAAGCGTTGCCACTCTCACCGCAAGCGTTGCCACTCTCACCGCAAGCGTTGCCACTCTCACCGCAAGCGTTGCCACTCTCACCGCAAGCGTTGCCACTCTCACCGCAAGCGTTGCCACTCTCACCACAAGCGCGCCACTCTCACCACAAGCCCCCCCCCCCCACTCTCTCACCACAAGCGCCCCCCACTCTCACCACAAGCGCCCCCCACTCTCACCACAAGCGCGCCCCCCCCCACTCTCACCACAAGCGCGCCCCCCCCCCCACTCTCACCACAAGCGCCCCCCCCCCACTCTCATCACAAGCGCCCCCCACTCTCACCACAAGCGCCCCCTCCCCACTCTCACCACAAGCGCCCCCTCCCCACTCTCACCACAAGCGCCCCCCCCCCCCCACTCTCACCACAAGCGCCCCCCCCCCACTCTCACCACAAGCGCCCCCCCCCACTCTCACCACAAGCGCCCCCCACTCTCACCACAAGCGCCCCCCCCCCACTCTCACCACAAGCGCCCCCCCCCCCACTCTCACCACAAGCGCCCCCCACTCCACCTATAAGAGTGACATATCCACCTTGTGCCGGAGAAGGGAATCACAGCCGCGCTAACGGGTGCTTTTGGCAAATTACTGACGTCAGAACAGAACCCTGGGAGAGTGATCCAGCGCCATTAAAGGTGGAACGCGCAGAGGGGCCGCTGTTATCTAGACCCGTCAGGCATTTGTTTCATAGGCCTGTGCTCGTCCCTAGGCCTACCGCTGGCTTTTTCCCCAGGATACAACACCACAACAATTGTCTAATTTCCGAATTAGATGAAAGAAAAAGTTGCCTAACCGTTTCTGTCCTGCGCAGGGATTGAACCAGGGGTCCCCTTTGTCATGTGAGTCCGGGACGTAGACTGCTCCGCCACAGAGAGCCTATGTGCATGGTTGGTATTACAAATATTAGATAGGAAGTATGCACAAAAATGTTGCAGTGTGTTTGTTTGTTTGTGTACAAGCCAGTGAATGCGCGTAGCTTTTGTTTGTTTGCAAGTTTAGGGGGGAAAATGCGCATAAAATAGAATCCACAGCACCGCTCCTGTGCCAGGTAAGTCCACTACGGGCTCACCATAGCCCGTGCTACTTGCCCCGCTCCTGTGCCAGGTAAGTCCACTACGGGCTCACCATAGCCCGTGCTACTTGCCCCGCTCCTGTGCCAGGTAAGTCCACTACGGGCTCACCATAGCCCGTGCTACTTGCCCCGCTCCTGTGCCAGGTAAGTCCACTACGGGCTCACCATAGCCCGTGCTACTTGCCCCGCTCCTGTGCCAGGTAAGTCCACTACGGGCTCACCATAGCCCGTGCTACTTGCAACTTTTGCTTTCCAGTAGCTGAATCTTAAACAACAACAACAACAACAATAACATAAAATAACAGCTATTTTCTGTGTATTTTGTTGGCCTATTGGATGGTATACATGACCCTAGTTATACATATGAATGTAAATATGTGTATATGCATGTTAATAGTATAAATATATATGTGAGAGTTGGTTGTTTATAAAGTCTCGTAGGTGACTGTTTTGGTTGTGGGGGGGGGGGGAGGGAGGGGGTTGTAGTGCCTAACTTCCTCACCCCCCCCCCCATCACCCCCATAACCCCACCCCACCCCCCCCATCACCCCCTCCCCACAGCGACCTTTCTTTGATGTTTTTCATTACCGGCTGGACTGTGATACCAGTGATGGGTTTGTGTGTGTTTGGTGTGTGGTGTAGCGAGGGTTATGATGCCTGGTGTGTGTGTGGGGGGGGGGTGTTTGTGTGGTGTGTGGGGGTGGGTGTGGGAGGGTGTGAGTGTGAGTGTGAGTGTGTGTGTGTGTGTGTGTGTGGGGGGGGGGGTGTGTGTGTGTGTGTGTGTGTGTGTGTGT